GATAGATAGATAGATAGATAGATAGATAGATAGATAGATAGATAGATAGATAGATAGATAGATAGATAGATAGATAGATATACCATATAAGAGACCAACACTGAAGTATTTTTAAGAACTTTCTTGATTTGCAAATTGCATGGAAGAAACAGCTCAGGATTAAGCAACTTGATGTTCTCCAGATGTTCGGGATTTCAGCCTCCATCAGCTCCCAGGCAAGCTTGGCCAACAGTGAAGGATTTGCATTCAGAAATCAAAGCCTTCAATTCAAGAACTCCGATCTAATTTTTCCTTCCATAACCTGTTCCTCCCCTCTCTCCCCCCCCCCTCCCCCAACAGCAAACTGCAAGACCAACCTTCTTTGCACGCAAGTTTGAGGCGGTTGTCAATCAGGAAGTCATCTCCCAGTTGGATTATTACCTGTATGGTAACTATCCTTCTGGTACCCCGGGCCTCCGATCGTACTGGGAAAATGTATACGATGAACCAGATGGGATCCACACCATTAGTGATGTTGCGCTGACTCTCTACCACTCTTTTTCCCGGTTGGGCTTGAAGAAAGCAGAAACGTCCTTCCATATGGATGGTGACAACAGTTGTCGGTAAGATCAACCATCCTTTCACCCTGCAGTTCCAAATCATCACACCAACTGAGGGTTGCATCTCTGTTTAGACAGTGTTGAGAAGCTGGGATGCCCTAGATGTTGGTGAACTACAAGTCCTAACATCCTTCCTTCAAGTATTGCCCATTGCTGCCATCATAAGCAAGACTCTCACCAACTTTTGAAGGCCAGACCCATTCTAGAAGATCGTCCAACGTGCTAGAGATAGAAATTGAGCTGTCCTCCTTAGAGAGGTGAAGGAGCAATAGAAGACCAGATATCTGGTGAACAAGTGAAGCCAAGAATATCACAGACGATCATTAAATTGCAGGGAATCTTCCTTTCAAAAGTCTTCTATTGCTCCTTCATCTCTCTAACAATCTTCTGTGTCCTCCACTTCTCTATCTTGCATTAAACCCAAAGAAAGTTAACCCAAGATTTTTGCTTCTTAAAAAATTCTTTCTGTCGCTGATCTTTTGCTTCTCAATTATTGTTTTCATGAATGTCATTCTTCTTTCTTCTCCGATCCTTTCTTTTTTTCCAGATACTACCCAATGGGGCATCCAGTGTCAGTCCATCTCTACTTTCTCGCTGATCATTTTCAGGGCTTCCTCATCAAACATCACACAACCAATTTGGCTGCCAGTAAACTGGAGACCTTAGAAACGTGGGTTATACCTAAGAAGGTGTTCAAGATTGCAAGCCCCCCGAGTGATTTTGGAAGGCTACAGTTCTTGGAGGTACACATTGCTCGCCTACATTCTTGGAAGTGAAGATAGTTCAAATCCCTAGTTGAAGGGTGGGAGGCATAGCAGAGTTTTGAAATGGATGGTTTTAATGACAGTTGGGTTGGGTTGGGTTAGGTTGAGTTGGGTTGGGTTGGGTTGAGATGGGTTGGGTTGGGTTGAGTTGGATTGGATTGGATTGGGTTGAGTTGGGTTGGGTTGAGATGGGTTGGGTTGAGATGGGTTGGGATGGGTTGGGTTGAGTTGGATTGGGTTGAGTTGGGTTGGGTTGGGTTGAGTTGGATTGGATTGAATTGAATTGGGTTGGGTTGGATTGGATTGATTTGGGTTGGGTTGAGATGGGTTGGGTTGAGTTGGATTGGATTGAGTTGGGTTGGGTTGGGTTGAATTGGGTTGGGTTGGGTTTCATTGGGTTGGATTGATTTCTATAGCTGCCCTTGGCAGCGTATAATATACACAATAATTTAAAACAATTGCAACTATTAAAATAATTAAAATGGTAGAAAATAAATATATATGGCACCAAGTAAAACTATTACAATGGGTCTAAAACAGCCAAGAAACAAGGCCCTCCACCCATTTGGCACCCCCAGCTGAGACATACAACCAATTTTTATGGCATTACAAAAGCCAACAGGGTAATGGGGATCATCTTGATCACTGAAAGGAAGCATTGGAACCTTAATTAACCCAGCTGACTGGTTCACACAACAGGTTAACGTGTTGTTTGAACACATTTCTAAGTCTTTATCCAGCCGGCTTCCGCAGTATGTTGCCTAAACGAAGCCATATGCAGGCAGGGACTTCCTTGCCCACTTCTTGAAGGTAGAAACAAGATGGCTTTCATTGAACTTTTTCCAAGAATCTTTTGCTCTCAACCGAATCAGGAAAACGGGGGAGGGGAAGGGAGAAAGTTGGTTACTGGCCTTGCTTAACAGTTGCCATTAATCAAGGAGAGGAAAATTAACTAGGCAGCAGGCAATTAGTGTTCCCCGTGTGAACTGAACAGTCCCTGTTTATGAGGGACAATTAGAGACAAACCAGGAGTCAAAACATTATTTGTCTTGGCCAAATGATGCATCAGCCTCAGAGGGGGGGAGGGGAGAAGATGGGGTTTGCAAGCTGCAAAAACTGAATCAGGAGCCAAGGGATCTGCAGATGGGACTGAGGAGAAGACCAGATTGCTCAGGAAGGGTGTCTGTCTGTCTCATCTGTCTCTGTCTGTCTATGTAGGATATCTATCTATCTATCTATCTATCTATCTATCTATCTATCTATCTATCTATCTATCTATCTATCTATCTATCAATGGTATCTATTTATCTATCTCTATCTATTTATCTACAGTATCTATCTATCTATCTATCTATCTATCTATCTATCTCTATGGTATCTATTTATCTATCTTTCTATGTATGGTATCTATGTATGGTATCTATGTATCTATCTATCGTATATCCATCCTATATCTATCTATCTATCTATCTATCTATCTATCTATCTATCTATCTATCTATCTATCTATCTATCTATCTATC